AGAGAGAGAGAGAGAGAGAGAGAGAGAGAGAGAGAGAGAGAGAGAGAGAGAGAGAGAGAGAGAGAGAGAGTGAGAGAGTATGGGGTGGTTACAGGGGCTTCCTGCACGAAATACAAGTTGTGAATGTTGGTTGGTTCATGAGGCAAGGCTGGTGGAGGTGATGAGGCACAGGGAAGGGGGGGGAAGAGTCATTGGTTCAAACTACGAGTCGGGAGGAACTCAGCACGAATATGCAAAGCTCTGAGAACAATAGCCCAGTGTCGGACTTTGATGACACACTGCCAAACACATTGATCTGCAGGAGAAGCGGTTTCCACGAAAAGAAAGTTGCCTTTCCTTGTTTTTTCTGACCCTTTTCCCTGTGTTTCTTTTATGGTCACGAGCTCTGTCTAAACGTTTCGATCTAAAGTAGTGTGGACGAGCTGTGTCTAAACTTAGGAGCATTGCAGAAAATGGTTGAAGAAGCAGCAACATCTTCATCCATATCAGTTTTCGCTACACTAACCGTAGCCCCAATCTGATTGCAACTTTGCAGGCGCTCAATGTTGTACACCTATACACTTATGCCATATACAAATATTCTGGAAAGAATATGACCGTAATTGCAGCCAGATACATGGCAATTTCTGGTGAGAAAACGCCCTTAGAGATACACTGACTGCATCCGAGTCTAGTCAGTTAAGCCATCAGGGCATCATCATCATCCGCATCAGGAAAACACATCGCTCTAGCCAATATGACCGTAATTGCAGTCAGATACATGACAATTTCTGTTGAGAAAAGGCCCTTGAAGTTCGAGATACACTGACTACACCAGAGTCTAATCAGTTAAGCCATCAGGGCATCATCATCATCCGCCTTGGGAAAACAGATCGCTCTAGCCACATTCATATCCTGAAGGAGATGGAAAATGCACAGCTCTGAATAGAAACGGATGGATCACTGACCAACTGACCAAGAAACATACTGTGTATCTGTATTTCCACCTCAACACACCATACAACTCTTTGTACACATATATACCTGTTCCCGTCCATTTCCTACAAGCTTGAAGCATTCAAGTCGTGTGAGCTATAACGCACCCCAGTTCCTCGGACTATACATCTCTCTCTCTCTCTCTCTCTCTCTCTCTCTCTCTCTCTCTCTCTCTCTCTCTCTCTCTCTCTCTCTCTCTCTCTCTCNCTCTCTCTCTCTCTCTCTCTCTCTCTCTCTCTCTCTCTCTCTCTCTCTCTCTCTCTCTCTCTCTCTCTCTCTCTCTCTCTGTGTGTGTGTGTGCACATGTGTTCCTTGCTTTCTGAGAGGAATATGTGCGGTATTCCCCACATTTACCTTTCTTGTGGGGTTCAGCATAGAACGTATGCTACGCGCGCACACACACAACAGTCTGCAATATTCGAATATTCTGGAAAGAATATATGACCGTAATTGCAGTCAGATATATGGCAAGTCCTGGTGCAGAAAAGTTCACAGGAAGGACACAGTAGAAATGACAGAAGGCTCAAGCATAGTAGACCTAGAGAGGGTGAAGAAAACAACAGTCTTTGATAGAATTAATGAATGAATGAATGCCTGGACGAAATAAGGGAGAGAATGAAGGTCGGTCCAGCGCCAACGGGAATGATCTTCATGGATGGTCGTAAACATCCACTGATGATTGAATGAGCACAGTGCCCAAATACGAGGGAAGACATGACGAGGTGAGGCCAGGTTGTATAACATGCAATGCAGCATATTAGACAATGCCCAACCTTCTGAGACCATGCCAGCTCTCTTGTTCCGTTTCTTCCTCCTTTACTTCATTCCTTTCCATTGCGCTCACTATTGTGAGGTTTCACGCTCAATGAGCCATGATGCAATGTAATGAAGCGGCTCATTTGTCAATCCCTTCGATCCTGTCCTCGACGTCGGCATACAGTTGCCTAAGCCTGTCCAGGTTTTCCTCTGATGTCTCCCAGTAACCTCTGCCATTCGCTTCCAAGAAAGTGGCCACGAGCTTGCGGAACGAGTTAGGGTTGGTTTCCAACAGCCTCTTCTGCATCTCTTCATCCTCGATGAAAGTGGAGTTGGCCTCCTCGTACACCCAGTTGTCAACGGTCCCTGATGTTGCCGACCATCCCATTGTATTCGTCAATCTCTTCTCTATCTCCCTCACACCTTCATACCCAGATTTAAGCATTCCTTCATACCACTTGGGGTTCAGCATTTTGGTTCGGGCGTCCAGTCTGACAGTCTCGCTGAGTGTCCTGACCTGGGCATTGGCAGTAGTAGTGTCGGCAATGTACGAAGCTGGCTTCTTACCATCAGTGCGGAGGGACTGCACAAGCTTGGTTGGGTCGGAGTCAAAGTAGTGGCTAACGTCTGTCAGACTGATTTCGGATGAGTCAAGGTTCTGGAAGGTGGCATCAGCAGTCTTTAAGGCGGCCTCAAAGATCTGCCTTTTCTCAGCCATGCCTGCGCCTGGGGTGTCACTGTCAAAAGCGAAGGATTTTCGTGACAAGTACATGTCTTGGAGTTGTTTCTCATCGTTCCAGGACGAGTTCTCGATTGCAAGATTAACATTGGAGGAGTACGACCCAGAGGCATTGGAGAAAATGCGGGTGGCCGCGTCGCGAACACTCAAGTTGAGCTCTGCTGCCTGCTCCAATGCGTGCTTGCGGACAAAGTTCATTTCCAGAGGCTCGTCCAGCTCTGCAACCATCTTGACAGCACGGTCCAGAAGGTTCATCTGGTTAATAAAAAGGTCGCGGAAGACACCAGAACAGTTGACCACAACATCAATTCGAGGCCGTCCCAGCTCCTCGAGGGGGATGGGCTCAATCTTGTTCACCCTTCCAAGGGCGTCCGGCAATGGGCGGACGCCAACCATGAGGAGTACCTGCGCAAGGGACTCTCCATAGGTCTTGATGTTGTCAGTGCCCCAGAGCACAAGAGCAATCGTCTCGGGGTATTTGCCACCATTCTCTGATCTCTGGCGATCTAGCAGGCGGTCGACGACGACCTTTGCACTAAGGATCGCTGCGGCTGTAGGGATGGCCTGTGGGTCCAGAGCATGGATGTTCTTGCCAGTCGGCAAAACCTTCGGATTCCTGATAGGATCACCTCCCGGACCAGGTTCCACATAGCGCCCTTCCAAGGCCTGCCGAAGTCCGCCAAGCTCGTTATCCATCACCACCTGTTTTAGACAGAAGCCAAGGAACTCGAAGAGGGTCCTCATCTTCGTTCTATCCGCGTTCCGGAATTGGGTGGATGCGAGGGCCTCCACCCAAGGGGCACGCTTAGCTGCACCAAAGAGGGCCCCTATCTTCTCGGTGACGCCCACAACTCTGCCCGATGCATTTGTTGTCTCATCCACAAAGGCCGTGATAGCTGTGCGGCTAGCCATGGTGATGTCGTTCAGGAGCATCACATCAGCCAGCACTCCCTTGTCACTGTTTCTGTACACTTCCTCGATGTCCCGACCAATGGACTGAGCGAGAATGCCAGGCAGACCATAGATGTCATCCTCAGGGCGGTCAATGGCTGCAATGTTGACAAGAGTGGCTATGGCTTCCTGGGAAGTAGGTGGTTCTCCAATTACATGCAGTCCGCATGGAAGGAGACGGGACTCGATCTCCATCAGCTTGCCATAAACCTTCCCCACCACAGTATCCCTCTCTTCTGCGCTCAGCTCATCCTCCTCACCAGGCAAGGGAACGTCTTTGTCAAGGTTGCACTGCTTGGCTGTACTGATAATGCTGCTGACAATGGCCTTTCCTCGGCCACTGTCCTTCAGAGTCTGATAGGAGGCAATGAGCTCGCTCAACTGCTTGAGCCCCTTGTACAGGCCAGCATTCTCAGCAGGAGGGGTCAAGTAGCTGATTGTGTTCGCATAGCTGCGGCGCTTCGCAACTGTGGCCTCAGAAGGGTTGTTGGCAGCGTAGTAGTACACATTAGGAATGTTGCCGATCAGACTGTCCGGGTAGCAGGCGTCCGACATGCCGACCTGTTTGCCAGGCATGAACTCGAGCGAGCCATGAGTGCCAAAGTGGAGGACAGCATCAGCCTTGAAAATCTTCTCCAAAAAGGTGTAGTAGGCGGCAAACCCATGGTGAGGGCTAGCCGATTGAGAGAAGAGGAGACGCATAGGATCCCCCTCATATCCAAAGGTGGGCTGCACTCCGATAAACACATTCCCAAACTCTTTGCCATAGACAAGAAGGTTCTGACCGTCGGAGTTGAGCTTGCCAGGCGGTTTGCCCCAGTTCTCCTCCAACGCTTCGGCGTAAGGTGTCAGCTTCTTGTACTCCCTCACACTCATGCGGTAGGCGATGTTCAGGTCCGGGCTGGAATACTTCGCCTCCTTGTCATGCAGTACTTCCTCTATCAAGGCCTCTGAGCTCTCTGGGAGATCTCCCACATTGTACCCATCCCTCTTCAAATCCACCAGCACGCTGTAGATCGAGGAGAAGACGTTCAAGTAGGCTGCTGTACCAACATTACCCTTGTCAGGGGGAAAGCTGAAGACTGTGATGGCCAACTTCTTCTCTGCCTGCAGTTACAATAAGTAGACGAAGACAGTTGGAAGCATCCAAGGCACAAAAGGACGGAGGGTGGCGACATAAGTTTTAGTGTCAGAACAGTCACCGGAGAGAGAGAGAGAGAGAGAGAGAGAGAGAGAGAGAGAGAGAGAGAGAGAGAGAGAGCCCTGGTGCAGGCAAAAAATGCAACTGTTACAGTGGTTGATAGACTATGATCTGACAACCTGTCACACATGCACACAAGAGAGAGAGAGAGAGAGAGAGAGAGAGAGAGAGAGAGAGAGAGAGCCCTGGTGCAGGCAAAAAATTCAACTGTTACAGTGGTTGATAGACTATGATCTGACAACCTGTCACACATGCACACAAAAGAAAAAGAATGGATCCTCAAAAACTTCACAGCTTCAGACAAATGGAGATGAAGGTGGGGCAACCACACACACCATAGACAACAATGAAGACAAGGTACACATACACACACACACACACACAATACATCAATATCACGTTTTTTGTATATTTTACAATGTTTGCTGTAGAAGATTACAAGGTCAAACCGTTTGTTTTAATTCTGGATCTATTCATCTGGGTGGAAAAGGAATTGTTATGGTGACAGTTGGCATGTAGAAGAAACTAAGGTCAAGCAGTTTGTTTAGAATTTGGATCTCCTCATATGGTGACAGTTGAAATCAGACTCGCTTTCTTCTCACTTCGCATGCATGTAAACAGATGGCAAATCACCCTGGCGCCAGGCGCCCACATAAAACTCAGAGATATAACAGGTGAGAACACAGTTCAGATACAAACTCGCTTCAAGTAACTATGGCGCTTGTGCGCCCTTACATCAACCCCCACGACACTGTCTCCTCACAACTTGTTCACACGGACACTTCACTGGATCTCCCTGGATATTCCACGCGCATACACTCTTACGGCACACTCGTACACACACACACTGAGGACTACTCTAACCTAGCGCAGCTATGGCTGCTCACTAACCCTATCACTACTAGCAGCTATGGTTGCTCTGTCTCCCTCGCAGCCCACTTCGGCTTCGGGCATCTGCAGACCACCTCACACAAGACGCACTGGCAGCGCTTCCACTTGGTTCGCAACAGAATGAATGAATGGCTGGATGCTGCCTCTTGATTTATACTTCTGTTGGTCGCTGGTCTGGCCCCTTCACACCGGGCCCTTCGTGCACACAGTCCCACAGGGTGCTTGCTGACTGGACTAAGTGAGACTGGGACTGGGTACCGCTGACTAAGCAAGGTTGGACTCACCACTTGCCGACTTGCCTCTGGTCTGCTGTGAACAACGTTCGAAAGGCCACTTCCAGACATTCCGGAAGCCTGCGGACTTGGCCTTTCGGAACTGTAGCAGCTACGACCTTGACCTTGCAGGACTGTAGCAGGCTACGACCTTGACTTTTCAGAATTACTACAGCTACGGCCTCTACACCAACAACTGACTCCTAAAACGCAGGTCACGGGTTCGTACTGTATACGGGCGAGGTGAGGTCTAGGTATCGTGCCCTGGGATCTGCATCTGCTACTGCAAAGGTGGAAACCGTTTCACTCCCGCTGGCCTAAATTCGAGGTCCTCCGAGAATACTTTAGTCGAAGGTAGAACCTTTCCCTTCTTATCTCTCTCATAGGCTCGGACTATATCGGGAGCTGTCTCTAGAAGCTCTGTTCGAGTAAACCAGCGGTCATCCTCCAGTTCTTGATAGGCAAATCTAACCTTTTACTGTTTCTGTGGGTGACCTCTACCTCGTGTTCTGAACACATCTTCATCTACTATGCGGTCAATGTCTTACCTTCCATCCATGTCGGGAGGGATCATGGACCTTCGTGATGGGAACTGTTGGCTTGTGGTACAGGGCAACAACTGTGACGCATGAAAAACTGGGTAGGTGTGGAGGTGTGTTGGAATCTCGACTGTGTAGGACGGTGCATCCTCTCCTCCCTCGACTTCTAAGACTGGCCACGGTCCTCGGTATGTAGGCAACAACTTCTGTGAGATGTTTTCCTCAGGAGCAAACTCTTTTGACTTCACCCAGACTAAGTCGCCTACTTGGTGGGCAACAGTGCTTGTTAGCTTGCTCTATCATTCTGTGCTGGGCTTTCCTGTGAGGTTCTCAACTGCGGTAGCAATCTCTTTTTCGTGTTGTATCGCAAATTCCCTAGTTTCGGGCGGTAGCCTTTGGATCTGATCCCGGTTAAGTCCCTCAAACTGTCTACGTGGTCTGAAGGACTTATGTAATTCATTGGGAGTGCGACAAGTGGCTAAGTGCACGCTGTTATTATAAGCACTGGCTACCTTTGGGAGTATCTCATCCCAGTTAACTTGATCAGGTCTAATATACATTCTAAGAACCTGCTGCAGGACTTTGTTCATCTGCTCAGTCTGCCCGTTTGTCTTTGGGTGACGGTCAGATGACATCAACAATTTAGAGCCATACACTCTCATTAGTTCCTGCCAGTTCTGACTAGTGAACCGGGTATCTCTATCGCTAACTATGGACAGTGGTAACCCATGGTCACTAACCCAATGATCGAAGAACTTCTGTATCACTAAATTTGTGCGTGCCTCTGAGGGCAAAGGAACAAAAACTGCATATTTGCTAAGTCTATCGACTATGACCATGACTTGGCTCTTGCCATGCTTATTCCTGACACCTGCGTCCATAAAATCAATGGACACAGAATCTCCGGGTCCTTCGGGGATAGGCAAGGGTCTAAGAAGACCTAGAGGGGCTCGCGTAGTGGTCTTGTTTTGCTGACATACCTTGCAACTGCGTACGTACTCTATGCAATCAGCCTTCATGTCAGGCCAAGTATACGTGCGCATGAGGTTGGCTAATGTCTTTTGCCACCCAAAATGTCCCTTTGTATCATGGAATTCCCCCAAGATCAGACTTCGGATCTCTTCACTGTTGGGAACACACAATCGGTCCGCTACATTAGTCTTCTCGAATAGTAACCCATCTGTAGTGCGGTAGTCTGGCTCAGACTCTGGAGACTCTGTAACTCTCTTGAGGAGATCACTATAAAAATAGGATCCTGCGCATACGCTTCCTTGACTTTCTGTTGCAGGTCTCTCCCTATATCCAGATGGTGAACTATCCCTCCAAAATAATCAGCTTTTCTACTCAGGGCGTCCGCGACTACATTATACTTTCCTTTAACTGGCTTGAGCTCAAAGTCAAACTGGTCTATCTTTGCGGCCCACCTAGTAAGCTTAGGTGTCATCTTGGCCTGTGTCTTCAACCACCTCAGCGTCTCGGGGTCTGAATACATTTTGAAGTGCCTCCCAAGCAAGTAGTGCTTCCAGTGATCTAATGTTTGCCTGAGAGTGTAGAGTTCCCTCTCATAGGTTGATGTCGCTACCTTCTTTAAAGGCATCCTAGTAGACATGAACTCTATGGGTCTATATCCATTGCCATCGTCTTGCTGTAAAACAACACCTATGCCGTATTGACTTGCGTCAGTAGTAACAACAAAAGGCAGGGACGGATCGGCTACCTTGAGGATTGGATACTCTATCAAAACCCGCTTCAACTTCTTCAAGGTTGATGTACATTCTTTGTCCCACTTCCAGATTGCGTCTTTCTTTAGCAATCTGCGAAGGGGTGCAACGATGGTGGAAAAGTTCCTCACGAACTTCCTATAGTAATTGGCTAAGCCTAAAAACGACCGCAACTATGTCAATGTGCGGGGCGTTGGCCAATCTCTAATCGCTGCTATCTTACTGTCCTCAGGTTTTATGTCATCTCCATCTAAGACATGGCCCAAGTACAGAACTTGTGTCTTGGCTTACTCGCACTTCTTTGCGTTCATCTTGAAGTTAGCTTCCCTCAGCTTCTCCAAGACCTGCCTCAGATAGCCCTCATGCTCCTGGAGGGTCCTACTAAAGACTAGGATATCATCTAAATACACAACTACAAATCTATCTAACCACGGCCTAAACAAATCATTCATACAACGTTGAAATGTAGTTGGCGTGTTGGTTTGTCCAAAGGGCATCACTATAAACTCATAATGCCTATATCTGGTCCTAAACGCCGTCTTGTGTTGATCATGAGGATGGACTTCTATCTGATGATAGCCCGACTTCAAGTCTATCTTCGAGAAGTACTTGCAGCCCTGCACCCGATCTAAGAGATCATACAGGGCAGTGGTTCTGGATTTTTCACTGTGATAGCGTTGAGACCCCTATAGTCAATACACATTCTTAACTCTCCCTCTTTCTTGGGGACAAACAGAACAGGGCCTAATCCAACCTTTCTCAAGGAGCTCATCTAACTGCTTACGCAACTCCTCTAACTCCCTTGGGGACATTCTATACACATCTCCCTTTGGAGTTCTACTGCCAGACTCTCTTTCAATACGATGCTAGATCGACCGCTGCACTACTCCTGTTGGCGGCTCAGCCAAATCTGTATACTCTTCCAACAACTTGGCAATAATCGAGTCAATAGGTTTGTCTTCCTTAGGCTCAATAACAGGCCTAACATAGGCTACAAAAACTTGTTCTTCTAGTTGTTCCTTTCTCACTAGTCGCGCAAACGCGGGAGCAATGAGGCAGCAATGTTGTTACGGACTTCGCCAGGGCTCGATCCCTGGTCTATCTTTTTGCTGTTTCGGTTGCATCCCGTTTTCGGCCTGGCACCCTTTTTCCAAACCCCTCCTTTGGTACCGTAGGATTTTGGACAAATGGCGCCATGCTGCAATTCAGGCGCCACTTTCAAATACTGCATTTTTCAGTTCTGCCCTCGGGGCCTTTGCAGAAATGCCCCTGGTACCGTACGTGCCACCGGTACTTATACCGGCTCCCCGTACGGTACGGGGCCAGTCTCATACCAGTTCTCTGCTGCTGTACTCGTACTCAGTGTGACTTGCTGTTTCGGCATTCGGAATCCAAGACTTCGACTTTGTGCCTTGCCACTGTGTCTGCGTCCGATCCTCAGTCCGAGTCCGTTGTGTCGAGTGAGTGAGTGTGTGTGTGTGCT